ATTCCTGCTCTAGATACTTGAGGCTATTCAAAGGTAACTTTTAATGAACTCTCATTTGAACTGAACGGATTAGTTCGGGGTTCTTTGTTTGTTTTTAAAGAAAAGAAAAAAAACAATTGCTTGAGCCTAAACAAGGAACAGTCTAAACTCAGTCATCAGTTTGGCTTTAAGGCCAAATGGTTCTTAAGAACGTCATTATTTCACCATTGATGAAAACTCATGCTATTGTTATACCTTAATTCATGTTCTCTGGAAAGACAATAACAGAGCTTAAGCAAGTATATATATCAAGTATATTAAGTATTAGATAGGCATTTCTGATCATATGCAAATTTTGCAAATGCTTAATTTTGAATATAGTTCGTATGGATTGTGCCATGTGAATAATTCCATAAACATGAGTGTAAGCCATTAAGTATACTTTTGGGTCAGCATGGGGAGAAACTGAGTACTTTTAATGGCATCTCTCATTTTTTGTGCATTTCACTGCTAAGAAAAAAAGTCCAAATTCTGCTTATGAATGTGAAGTTGTAATTCAAATTAACATAACAATTCCAGTTTTGTAACATGTCAGAGTAGTCAAAAATTAATATAATTTCACACCCAAACTGTAGTCTATGGCTTAGTAGTCTGTCTGTGCTTTAGTAACCATTTAGCCTGTATTAAAATTTGTAAATGCTAAAACATTTATTGACCAACATTATCACTCTTTGAATAACAGGTTTATGGGGACAAAGATGCTGATGGATTCTATCGTGGAGAAACTTGTACGAGAATTGGCCTTATCCCATGTAATATGGTCTCTGAGATCCAAGCAGATGATGAAGAGATGATGGATCAGCTTCTAAAACAAGGCTTTCTTCCTTTGAACACACCAGTTGAGAAAATTGGTAAGGAAAAATATATACACTTCACTTCTAACTTTTGGGTGCTATTGACTTGGCTGGATCCGCTTTGCCGTTTGTTTTTACTATATGCAGATGCATCTAAATTTTACAGCAATTTACTACACCATGGGATACATTCTGTGTCAGCATCTGGATGACTTTATTCAACTAACACTTAATTTTGGTCACGTCTTTTGCTGCAAATGAAGACTTGTAACTTCACCACTCTACTCATTACTTTCTTTTCTTATTTAAAAAAAAAAAGGGTTTTGTCACCTGAAAGATTTCTAGACACAGAACATGATCCCTGTGCTTTGGAGTGTGCTGTGCTGAGGTGCTTTGTGATATGCTCACTGCTGCAAAGCATAAAAAGAATCACTTATTTGTTGTTATTTTTACTCTTCTACATTTTCCTACTTTACCAGTAATTTAAAGGGATGGTGGCAAAGGGTTATGTGTAATCTCATTTGGGATAGCACTACATATTATGAGATTTTACAGATGTTGCAGTAACAAACCCTTTAAAAAGCAGAGTTTGGCCAAACAATTCTGTGTTATGAACCGCTTGTGTTACACCATTGGTTCAATGTTGTACACAGATACACTATGCAAGTATCTTAATGTAGATTTCTTTCTAAAAATAAATTTCATACAACTATCTCAATATGTTTTAAAATTTTCCACATGATTCAGAGAGTATAAAGGGCTGGAATTGGTTCAGTCCTGTTTAAAAGTGAACTGTAAAAGTGGTTGCTAAAGAAAACAAAGAAATCTTCCACAATTGTTTTCTTAGGTTGAATAAAACCTTATCGTTTCCAAAATTGCATTAGTGAATGTGAGACAAAATTTTTTGTTGTTTTTTTTTAAGATATTGACATATATTTTAAAAATCTCCATTGTCCATGAAAGGGAAAGATGATTTAAGTTCTTTAATGCTTGATTGAATTCTTTATTCAAATCTGTGTATTTATTTCCTTAAGCCACATAAATACAATAAATACTCCCACCCACATGCACTTGCAAACCCCACTGCCCATCTGCTCCCGTAGGTATAGCACATACAGCTACATGTACATTTGTAGGACAAAAACTTGGTATAGGCACACAGTGGGACTTACAGGTGTGCCTGAAGAGGTTGGCTGCCTACAGCGTTATTCTGCACAAGTAGTCATTTTATCATGGGCCTGCATCATTTGAAGTCTATTAGAATGAGATACTTGACCTGCTTTAGGTACATCTGTAAACACAACCGGGGGCCTGATGGGATTAAGAAGTGTCTAAATATATTTCTACTTCTGGCAATGAGATCACATGTGGATACAGAAAATATCTTCTGTAAACAGCTGCAATTGAAATTTGCTGCCTAAAGTCCTGCTCAGTGCTCTCGGTTCTTATCAAAGTCAGCAAGTTGTTGATACAGAAAACTTGTGAAAATGAAATCACTAGTCAACATAGCTCCCCATAATTTGAATATTTTGGCTGTCTAAGGGTCATATTTTGCAGATGTAATTGTTTTTTTTCTGTTGTGCTCAACTGGTAGTGTCTCCTGAAATAGCTGAGAAATCAGAAAGTCTTCATCTTGGAAAGAGGGAGAGGCAATTGTGACAGAAATGTTGCCCTGCCTTACATTTTTAAGCAATTCGGTTTATTCCAGGATGTTTTGAGCCAGCCGTTAGCAACCTACCCCCAGCAGTTCACCTTTAAATATTTTAGCACTTTCAAAGCTTCATGTATTTTCTCTTTAAAATGGATTTAAATTATTAGCCATTTAAGAAACAAAAGTTCTTACTAATGGATTTGGAGAGAGTAGTTAGTTTGGCTCAATTTTAAACTAAATAAATACAAACTCTGAATAGCAGAGATCCACGTGCTCAGAGCCTCGCTGTCACAGAGGCTGCACACGTGGATTTTTAGCAGAAGCAGGCTCTAATTGCTGGTCTGTCTCATATTGTTACTCATATTTTTCATGTCATATCAGACACTTTACATGCTGTGTTCATATGACTATATTTTCCTTAATCCTTTGCCCACATTAAATCCTTAAAAACAGAACTTTGAACAGCTTCATATCTTTTCTTCTTTTATTTGTATGCATTCCTTTCCTGAAGTCAACTGTGACCGTTTCAAAGAGAGCACACGCTCTGTACACCGCAGATCCAGAAAGTCTAAAAGAGGTCTGTGCTAAGAACCAATAATTTGATTCAAGCTGTAAATTAGCTGAAATTATTTGAGCTGTCTAGATTTAATTTTTTATGTCTTTGAACTTTTGGAAGCCAGAAGTTGGAAAATATTGTCACATAGCAATTATGTATAGGGTCCCTTGACCCTGAAGAGTGGGCAATGTCTTGCCCCAGGGAAGTACTTCAAAATGGAAAGTACAACTCCGAGACAGTCATTTAGGTGTGGGTTGATCCAGGCTTTGGGGAGTCAGGGGGATCGGGTGCTGCATCCGTTACAGTTCGTGCCTTCATTTCGGACCTCTCCTCGTGTTCTGTGTAAATCCCTTGCATTGGTAGCTGGGAAAGTAATGCCACCCACTGCAAAAGTAAGTGACCTCCTCTGACTGAATGCTGCGTGTCAGCTGGTGGGTGATGTGACAGCTGTGAGTGCATGCCACACTCAGTACCTGCTCCTACATTAGCCGAACCTTTAATGTTCACCCTCCTGCTGGAGCAACCACAGGGTGCCTCCTAACCCCGGGTCTCCTTTGCCACACTGCATAATGCTCGTCAGACCTGCCCTCAATGCCTGTCTGTAAGTAGCACTAACAAGCATGTTTCTCTTGCTACAGCAATCATCTGCAAGAATCATGCTAATATCATTCAAATTTAAAATGAAGCCCATTTTGGACTTCTCTGTAAATGTTTAATATCAATCAATAAACATTTCACGTGGTTCCTGGAAACTACAAATTTTACTCTGTTCCTTCTGTTCACCCCAAAGGAAACGTGTAAAATTAAACAGTACTTGAGAATGTGGTTTTGTAGTCAGCCTTGAAAATATTGCAAGCCACTTGCATAATGCGTAGCTTCTTTTGTCTTGGGTCAGCTGAAAGTGTCCATTTCTCCTTCCAGTCTCCCAGCAGAAAGTTGAAGAATAATCCCAGGCACAAAATTCCTTTTGACTAGGAGCGGGGAAGGGAATAGACTGTAAATGTGGAAGTTTGAATAAAATGAAACAAACATGAATCTTGAATGTTTGGCTGTGTATACCCTGGTAACCTCTGATTCTTACAGCCGAGAGTTGCTGAAAATTTCAGAACATTAGTTTTGTGGACAAATACTGTTCAGAGGATTCAGTGGCTTAGAATAAAGAGGGCAAGCCAGCTGCTAAAAAAACATTTATGAAAGCTACGTGCTGTTTTGAAACCTTTATCTGTGTTAATAGGTTTGGCAATCTGTGACCTTTAATCACTATGCTAGAGAAGTATCAACATTGTTACTGCACTGTTGTGAAAATGAAGTGGGGAAAAGTTGTACCTTTTTTTTCTTTTCAAAATAACTTTGATAGCTTTCCTTCCCTTCCTCTCCTTGTGATCGGCACAGAAAGAAACAGACGGAGTGGCAGACAACATTCAGTGTCTACAAGAAGGATGGTGGCGCTGTACGATTACGATCCAAGAGAAAGTTCTCCTAATGTTGATGTAGAGGTATTGACATAACTGTTCCCTGTGTGTACCATTTATGGAGCCATAACATAGTTGGCACAGATAAGCACTAATACACACTTAGAGTGGATGTGCAGGGGAAAAAAAAAAAATAGTTCAGAATTACAAACACTGGTCAAGTGTTTCTGGGCAGATGTATCTGACAAGCTTATGACTTCTGTACAAGAAGATTTATGGTTCTTGTTCAAACAAAATCAAAGAATACCATAGAATCATAGAATAGTTTGGGTTGAAGGGACTGTCAAAGGTCACCTAGTCCAACCCCCTGCAGTGAGCAGGGCCACCTTCAACCAGACCAGGTTGCTCAGATCAGTATCCTTTGTAGGATTCATTTAATACGACTCAATACATTATATAGTCAGTTGTGGATATATGGTTGGGCAATAGAGGTGTATACATATGTATATAATAAAAGTCTATAAGGAAAAAAGCACGGAGTTACAAACAGTAGGGAATAGTTATTTTCCAATTATAGTTTTCAAATTCCCTTTGTGTGTTTCCACATAAGAACATGATTATTTCTGAGAAGTGTCTCAGCTCCTGCCGACAAGCTGATAGTGAAGCATGCTTTCAAAGCTCTGTAACTGCAGGTCCTCCAAAAATCAACCCTCCTTCGCAACCCAAACCAGAAGAACACAGCACAGTAGAACACCGTTCAGTGTTTCTTTCTCTTAATCGATGCATCTGAGCTTTCCTGAATGTATGTCTTGTCTGTAATCTTTTTTTTTTAATAACAATGTAAGGATATCTTAAACAACAGCTGAGCATTAGCTAGATCTTCATTCTGGGTTTATCTCCCATTTACCTACATGCAGTCTCCCATGTCTCCGTATCTGTCAGCAGCAACAACGGAATAATTTTTTACATTGTCTTTGATGTTACACGGTAAGTGCATCAATCAAGATTTGATGCAATATTCATTTATGTATGCATCATGGCAAGAATGTCAGGATATAATCAAAGCTCTGAAACACTACTGCATACCTAGGAGCTTCCTCAGCCTTTAAAATAATTATATTATTTTTTATTGGTGAATTGTAGAACAATTTGGTATTTTTTAAAGAAGGTGGTGAATTCTGAAATATGTGGCACTTGACACTTTAAAACTCAGCCAGAGTTGTCTTCTTATATTGCTCACTGAACCAAATCAGGTTCTAAATTATGGTGTCTCAAAGTAGTTTGGGCAACATATCAAATAAATTGTACTGATATCTTGCAAACGTTTTATTTGTTCTCTCTCCTATGGCCAGAGAAAATTAAAAATAAGTTTAGAAAACTAACTAAATTACATTTAAACCACAGGCAACTAAAAAGAGCCCAGTACACCATTTGCAGATCAGAGACTGGCGATGCCTGTTATGAAACCTTTATTGAACAGCATCCAGTACAGCTCCACAATTTTCATTCAGGAATGTTGTGTTCCAGGAAAAGCAGTTTCAGCTCCTCTTGTACCCAGTAGCCCCAGCGCACAGCTCAGTACAGCATGGGGACCTGAACCATGTCCCTTTCCTACGTCCTGTTCTCTCCTCATGGAAGGACTGGCTTTTTGAAGCCAGGTAGTTCAAAGCATCAGAGTTTGTTCAGGGCTTTGCACAGATGAGTTCCGAGGATCTCCCAGGTCTGGTTGCACTCGATTCGTTTGTCGCAGGGAGTCCTGTGGGTGTTTAGGTCCTAGTGGGAGAGGTGCCAGATTTAGCAAGCTAAAAAAAGGTTTTGCTCTCAAAGTTCAAATAGTTTCACCAACTGTGTCTTAACATAAAGGAGGGGGAAAAACATTAATGGATTTACTATTAATAAAGAAAATGGTAACCGTTGCCTAAGAAAACATGACCTGTCACCCTGTGACGTGTTCCTTTTTCTGCAGGCTGAGCTGACATTCTGCACGGGGGACATCATCACCGTCTTTGGTGAAATCGATGAGGATGGATTTTACTATGTAAGTTGGCTTCTGTTGAGTCACTTCAAACTGCTACAAACTTAGAGCAATCTTCTCTAGCATGAATTATTAGATCACAGCCTGGGGGCATCTCAGGTCGCAATCCCAGCTAGTGGTGTTGCGGAAATGGCTGTGATCCCTATTTAACAGAAACGCCAACCCAGACGGGCATGCCTAGAAGCACTGTCACGAGGGGCTTCGCATCACCGCTCCTGTTTGTACCTGGGAGACTGAGGTCACCGCCAGCCCAGCTGGAGGGATGGGATCATGGGAGTCAAGAGAGCCCATGCTGAGTCACGGGAGACAACGTTCCAGCATTGCTTGCCCTGCCAAACTGTTTTCAAACTGGTCGCAGCTGCCAGTCTGCATCCTGAACTTGCATTTTCCATTTCCACGCTGTACTGGCCCTAGAAAACATGCCCAACGGTCTCATTCAGAGGCGTTTTAGAAGGGACCCCTGTCAGACCCAGATGAGTCATTTGACGGCCTCAGAAGTGCCTTTAGGGTACGCTTTAGGTGCAGCCCAGCACCACACCTGTCTGTGGCGTTGCAGCTCGAAGGACCCAAGTCCAGAAACTGTATGGGAAGGCAGCTCCTGCTTCTCCATTGCACACGGGTGAAGACCACGGCAATGCATTCGCTCTCCATTACGCACATCAGCTCTTGTGATCTTCAAGAGTGTGTAAGCTCTTAAGGTCCTAGGTGACTTTCAATGGCTATTTCCTCTTCCCCACTGGCTTTGAAAGAGTCAAAAATATTTCCTTCCCTTCTTGGGAACCTACCTTCGCTTTAATTGAAACATTCACTGAAACTCTCGTCATGTTGCAGGGTGAGCTTAATGGACACAAGGGGCTGGTTCCTTCCAACTTTCTTGAAGAAGTGCCTGATGATGTTGAAGTCTATCTCTCTGATGCACCCTCACGATATGTTCACGATACACCGACGCGTACAAAAGCAAAAAGGGTAAGCAACCGAATAAGAAAAATATAAGTTTTTATTTTCCATTCCATTCTGTCTCATATATAATTTAGACATTACTTTTAACATTTTAAATCCATTTGCCCATTTCAAATTAACTTTCAAATATATAACATAAAACAAAGAAAAATTACTTTACTTAGCCTTCCACTAGCTTGTTACATTTATAAATGAAGAAACTAAATTTACCATTTGATGGCAGTCATTACAGTACCTTCAATTATGCTTCAAGTTTAAACAGCTTTTCCCCAGTGAAAGTAGTTACTTCCTAATGCTTCTAAACTACTCTTAGTACATGGAGTATCTAGACGAAAGGAAAAGTTCTTGTGGACAAAAGGCTGGTACAAGCATTCCTTTAACTACAAATTGGCAATACCGCCAATTAAAAGTGTTCATCTTTTAATCCTCATGACTTCCTATTCCAACTGGCATTAGTTAATTGCCCAGAGACTTCTCTTACATGAAAGACTGAGCATGTTTAGAGTATCTCATTTTTGGTTTTGTTTCATCACTGCAATACTTTTATATATTATATATTTTATATATATTTTTATTTCTTTGCTCATCTGCTTGGAAACAGAAGAAGAGTGTTCATTTCACACCTTAATAAGGCAATGTAGCCTTCACGTAAGTGAGCAACTGAAGATACCAATAGAGATTTCAATTAAAGCTACCTGGCTATCTAATGCAAGTCTTGAAACTTAATTGTGGGGGAAAAAAAGAAAGAAATATGTCTCCAAAATCCTTGGCCACAGAAGAATAGGCTGTATGCTGTTACTACACCTAGTCAAGTCAATTTAGGTTTTTTAGGAGACAAATCCTTTACAAAGGAATCCTTAGAAATAATTCAATTAGACCTCACTTTATGAAGGTCAACATTTGGAGCATATTTCTTCATGAGCTAAATGTTTATGTTTACATAGAAAGGAGAGTTTGATGTCTAACTACCCTACAAACAAAAGCTGCATATTGCATTGTTAGCCAACCTGGGATATAAAAATGCCAAGCTCCTGTATCAAGAGACAAGCACAATACCCCCAGCCCTTAAAGAACACACAAATGGAACGTATGCTGATAATGAACGGTAGTTTACAAGGGTCTAGTTGTTTTTGAAACTCATTACACTCAAATACAGCTATAAATTGTCTGCCTTAAAATGTGTTTTCCATGACCAATTATACTCCAGTTTGCCTAAGACCAACTATTCAACAATTCTGAAAAAATCGCTTCACATGGCACAATTTACTCACATTTTCCTAGAAACGTGCACATTTGAAATATTAGCAACTGTTTGGTTTACCAATGCAATAAAAGTCTCAGTATGAAACATGCAGCTCATGGAATGAATGCATTAGACTAAATACATGGTATCTTCAGGTGTACGTTGGGGTGCTTTACCAAGTTGGTTTTTTTTCATTAGAAGTAGACCTTGATTTAAAATCAAAGTAGGCTTGAAGCCCCTTTGCTTAACTCACGGTTGCACAACAAGCCAGTAAATTGTGAATGTTTTAACTTGAACTGCAAGGTAGCAGGGGTCCCTGAGGCATGGATTCTACTACGAAAATAACATCTTAATGGATATAGTATCCCATTTTGTCAGCTGGGCACTGTAGTTAGGACAGGCTGAGTATATGTAGTTTTAGCATTTTCATTCAAGCACTTTTGGTAATTGAAAAAAAAATAGCTGTTTAAAATATTTAGGAATGCTGTCATCTAACTATCGTACAAGTATTCACCTTCATTCAGCAACCTCATAGCTGCAGCATACACATCAAGCAGTCAGGGCCTTTAAGCTTTCTTTGATTGCGATTAAGGTTCATTTTAGCTTTTTCTTTTTTTTTTTTCTTTTTTTTTTTAAGCCAGTGTGCCATCTTCTCAAGTATGTACATAAAGTTTGCTAGCCAATTTTAAAGGTGTTTAAAGCACATTAAAAAATAAGTAAAATATAGCATGTTAAGTAATTCCTTCTGAAAAGAGTTTGGCTTCTATAGATTGCTAATCTGTAGTAATTAACACATTTATTTTTCTTAAATCTATAGCTAAAAGTATCCCTCTTCATTTTTGTACTATCAGAGTACCGGAATGCAAAACGAAAACCAGTTTTGTGGCTTTTGTGGCCAGAACTATGGCAAAACAAGTATATCCACCTCTTTAAAAAAAGTATAGCCAAAACAGGGCTCTGTTGGAGTGTTTTCTATGGCCTGTACTTCCTTCTCAACATTTATGTATTTTCCATAAGCCCATATGGTATTTTAAGCCACAACGAAGAAAGGAACCAGCCCTGTTGTTTAAGTGGGTAATGGGACAAGTGATGTTACCAACTTTCTTGATGATAATAGCTTTTAAGCTTTCAAACATTCAATAAATTATAACAATGTACCTAATAGGTTCCTCCTGAGAATACAGGTACATCACGGAGAGCACCATCCCCCACAGTTCATCTCCATTCTGGGTCACCTACGTCACCTATGGGTTCTGGTAGTCCCGGGAGAGGCAGGGATATGTCCTCGAAAAAGAAAAAGGGGCTGCTTTCCAAAGGCAAGAAACTGCTGAAAAAGCTTGGTGCAGTGAAATGATTCATGTACTCCTGGACAACTTGTAAAGCTTCCAGTCTGTGTAATTATTTTTTTTTAAATGTCAAAACTAGGGCTTTCATGACTATGCAGTACAACTTTACCAACCCTTTGCATTTTTAACTCTGCCATCAATAGAATCATGTGACTTGCTTAATCAAAACAGCAAGAAAACAGGAAGTGGATTTGTTGTTGCAAGTATTTTTTTTCTGGAAAAAAAAAAAAAAATTAAATTGTGGGATTAAGACAAGTCAACTTGACACCTGCACCTCCATTGGGTAAATCTCAGCCTTTAGTCTCCTTTCACCATGAGTGGGGGGAAGAAAACGCTGTTTATTGATTCCTGGTTCAGAGGTCACCCCACTGTATCTAACCTTTATCAATCATAAACAAAAATGGTCTTGAAACTCCTAGTTTAATCAGCCTTGATGTTTTGCCTTATTAATGCACAATGATTTGTACTGTCTAATAAATATACAGCGTATACTTAGTATGTACTGTGTATTCAACTGTCTTCATCTTCCCTAAAACATGGTAATTTAAGGTCAAGTACTACGTTACTGACTCCATTCAATGTCTGATGTAACTCTTGGGAGTTTGAAAGTGCTGTGCAAAATGCTTTCGTTTTGTTTTTTGCTGCTTTTTTCTTTTTACCCCAAACCAAACCCCTTGTATTGATTTCTTTCGTCAACATTTTCACTAAACTGAAATCAGATTCTTAAGTTATTCAGAGACTCACCCAGTTTCAACTGTACCAGCTCCAGTTTTGGAGTTCCTGGTTCACTGCTCTCCTGTTTTACCAGGAAAAACCAACCCAAAACAGAAACTCCACAACAAAACCCCTTTAACTCCTAAACTTTTTTTTCCTGCATAGGAACCATCCTAAGTTAAAAGGCATTTTCATACTGCTGATGTCAGATGCAAGATAAAGTGCATGTCTAAAGTAAAAAGTGAAAAACAAGCCGTAGCCAGTGCAAAGGCTGCAACAGATAATAATCAAATATGAATCGCAATATTGGCATCTCAAGAAAAACGCATTGATGGCAGTCATTGGCTGTTACTATTTTGTAATTCTTGTCCATTTGTAAATTGTTTTTACTGTTTATACATACTTTTCAGACTGCCTTTCTTTTTGTAATTTATGGAAGGTTTATAAATGAATGATCAAAGCTTCCCCATTGTGTCTTCAGATAATGATGTAAATTACTGTAAGATACCGTGTGCTAGATTATAACATTTAATTAAAAGAAAATAACTGGCCTAAATTTGTGGTAAAGTACTGTGTGGGTGTGTGCATGTGTACAACTGTTGTGTATCATATTTTATATAAATAAATGATTTGATATTTTGTAGAGTGCAGTATGTTTCATGCATCTACTGTATCAGCTGCCTGGTTACTGTGTCAGCCTTCCCTCCCTTTCTAAAGCACCGGGCACAAGTGGCAAGATCCACATGCGTGAGCAATTATTAAACAGGCAGGAAGGGTCAAGCCAGCCTTCAAACCCGCACCCAGTGGCGAAGGAGCCGGCTGCATTACTGCCTTCCTGCCTTGCCTGAGCTGACTAAGGACGCAGCTCCTCTTCTATTGACCTCAAATGACAGAAACCAGATCAGAATGAATACCCATGACAGGTAAATACAAAATACTACGCAGTGAATAGGGAAAGCCAGTGCTGAGTGACATCGGAAAGACCAGAATACTTGCCAGAAACCCCTGTGCCTCTCTTCATTACAAATGTCACACGGAATAAGTCTGAACAGTTCTCAGCCTAGGAAAGACAAAAACCCGAATGGAATAGAAGGTACAGAGCTCCCTCGTTTTTCAGAGCTGTCGATGGCTGCTGAAGTTTACTGTAGAGTAAAGGCTCAGCTAAATGCAAGACTCTAGGAGCTTTCCAGAAGTAAAAAATGGTTACAAAGTTACTCTAGTCCATGTCACAGAGCATGCCCACAGCCCAGTCGAAGTATGTACGCAAACACATCTAACAGGATCAAACAAGCAAGGATTACAGCAACAGCTTTATTTAAATCTCACAAGGGAAAGGAACAAGGTTCACAAGAAGTTAGTTAAAAACACCAGCACAAATCCAAATTCTTCCATATGCACTAGTTTGACTCTGTGCCTAGTAATGCAAAAATCTGAAATCAACTTCCATCAACACAACTGCTGTTTGTTTGCTTTACAAATGAAGCTACTCCTGCCAAAGAGTTACCAACGAAAATCTTGGAAGTACGATACAAACCAAGGCCTAAGCACTTCCCATTACTTGGAACTGCACAACCGAAAAAACATTTTCCTCATTTAACAAGCATGCAGTTAAACAATGTCAACCAAGAAATTTAGTTCATTCCAGTTATGAATCTGCAGTTGTCTAAACCAACGACATACTCATGCTGTGTAGTAAATATGAAGTTACAAGACTAAGAAAAAGCATGTCAGTAGGCCAGTCCCTGCTAAGGCACAACAGCCCCCCTAATGGCATTCAAGCTTAGTCAAAGCCATCACTTCATGTGGAGAGAGTACCGTAGCCTTAGATAAAAAAAGTGTTCCTATAGCTGTGGTAAGATCCAGAAATAATTTTGCCTCTGACACTCATTCCTGAAACTTTGGCTACACACGGAAACTCCTCCTCAGCTCTGACAGTTTGAAAACATCCCACTTCACCTCCCTCTGCTCCTACGGAGACGCAGGTGAGCACAAGACAGTTTCTAGTTGGTCTGCAAATCACTTACAAGGGCAAATATTAAAAACCCTTTCACAGGCTTTGCAGCACTAGGCAACCTTAAAACAAAGCCCTGATAACCAAGAATGGCTGGTAGCCTCTTTTTAACACATGAACTAGTTTAGGAGATGAAGTCTTGCCCTCATGTTAACAGCTAAGAAAAACAAGCATACAATAACTGCGTTTTGAAAATTACAAGTGTAACATGCTAACTGGAGACATTTGGGGGTTGGTCCACATAATAAAGATACAAGATACAGTTACCTAAAAATAATGCTGTCTAAGACTTCCCCAAAACATAATAAAAATAAGAACTGAAACTTTTGTAAGGAATCCCAGAAACACTTCAGTAACTAAGTATTAAAAATAATAAAATATTATATAGTTTTTATAGCAAGCAGAGACCTATTCACAATGCAGATGTG